ACAGTTTAATTGGGAAACTACTTCTTCACAACAGTTTTGGGAATGGAAGAGTGCTCTCAGCATGTGTCATTGATACACAAACAATACAAGGTCAGGGGAGAGCTGACAGCCTGTTAAATTCTAGTTTGTCCAACTTTGCTAGTTCTGGAGAAAGGCTCTATGTCACCACAAAGTAGCAGGCCACCAGAACTTGATCAAAAATCAACCCTACTCCTAGTATTAGACCACTGGTAGACTTAGCCCCCAGTCCAAGTTGATGTACTAGTAGTCACTTTTGAGAATAACTATTGTACTAGCTGGTGATCTAATTTTGAGTTTTCATTTGGATTTTAATGCAAAAAATTCACAATAAAAAACACTACCAGGGACTTTTTGCCTTATGTCTTGTACCTTGCTGGATTACACACTTATCATACCAGCAGATTACAGTAATCCAAAATTGTGTTCTGGTCTTCAATCTTGTTGACCTCAACTTTGTCCAGGAAAATTATAGTTGCATTTTTTTATGGACAAAAAAGTTGATGTGCACCCCTCTACAGTAGGTGCATTTTTCAACTCAAATTGCATTCTCAGGCCTATGACCCAAAATACCCTCATACCGTACATTATACCCCTCTTGTTTTGTAATTGCAATGACTTTTTTGTGTGGTTATTAACTAAGGAAACCACGTTGTAATAGAGGTCATTGGCCTCTGAGTTGCATTCTCAGCTATTGAAAATAAGTAGAAAGTGCAACAATGCAACTTGGTCATTGGGGTATTGGATACATGGAGGTACAAACTAGTATTTTTTTATCTCTATTCTGCTCCCTTCTTGTCTTATCACAAAATACGGAGGACAAATGCTGATACAGAGGATGCTGATACAGAGGCTTGCTGACACAGAAGATGCTCCTTATACAGAGGATGATGCTGATATGGAGGACGCTTGCTGATATAGACAAGTCGATGATACAGACAAGTCACTGATATGGCGTCTACTGATACTATAGAATCTGCTGATATAGCATCCGTTGATATGGTGTCTGCTGATAAGAGCTGCTGATAGGGGCTGTTGGTGATACTACAGAGGATGCTGATACAGAGGAATTTGTCTAGCTACAATTATGGTCTACAATTATGCCAGTATTGGTGCGGATCCACCATAGGGGGGGACTTGCTGATATGGAGGATGCTGATACTGATGCTGATATGAGTCGCTGTTACAGAGGATGCAAACACAGAGGATGCTGATATGGAGGGTGCTGATATGGATGCTGATATGGATGCTAATACAAGATGCTGATACGAGTCACTGTTATGGAGGATGCTTTTACAGAGTGTGCGGAGGATGCTTTTATGGAGGATGCTAATACAAGGAGCGGCTGATACAGAGGATGCTGATATGAGTCACTGATACAAGTTGCTAATACAGAGGAGCCAGTGATACAGTGTCAGCTGGTGTGGAGGCTCGCTGCTGATACAGAGGCTTGCTGATATGGTGCCTGCTGATACAAGTTGCTGTGGTAGCTGCTAGTAACTACTTGTCCCCCCTAAGATCTTAGATAGTGACTGTCATAAAAATATGTTTCTGTAATTGTCAAGAATTACCCCCTTCATCATATGTCTATTTGCTATGGAAATTGCCTTATGCTTGATGATGTAAGTAATTCTGTTCAACCAACTTAATGTATTTTTTGCTTTACTACAGGCATGGTAGATGTCAGCAGTAGGAATCAACACAATGTACACGTACGTAGAATTGTACGTGCTTTCCTACTGTTGCAAAATTAGTTGCATTTTGTTGTCATACGCACACAGTACTGGTATTTTGCAAATAAAATTGCATTCTCATTATTGCCTCAATGGCAACAAAAATTCCCAATATACTACTACACGCAAAATAAAAATTGAAATTGCGTTAATTGAGGTATTGGGAACTTTAATTTAACATTCTGAATGTTAGGAGCGAATGCTGTGTTTTTTGCTTCAATTTAACGTCCTGAATGCTTTGCTTAACAGTCTGAATATTAGCAGGGGAGGCGTCCTCTTCTTCCTCTTTTTTTGATCCCTTCTTCCTTTTTAGGCACTTGCAAGACTGTCTTGCTACCAAATGAAGAATGTGGATAATACTACAATCTACATAGGCCTATGCCATAATGAAACATTCTGTACATTAAATTAACAGTCGTAATGTTGAATTAATGTTCCCAATGCCTCAATTAACTTAATTTCAATTGTTATTTTACGTGTAGTAGGCCTATGACCCAAAATACCCAACTACCAAAAGTCATACCCCTAATTTTGCAACTGTAATGAGTTTTTTTGTGTGTTTATTAACTGGAGAAAATAGGATACCAGGAGCCTCTGAGGTGCATTCTCAGCTGTTGAAAACGTAGAGAGTGCAACAATACAACTCCTTCCGGTCTGACTCTTTAACACTTCCCACTGAGGTGCAAACTCAATTCGTATACAATCACAAATGCTCACAAATTCTTTACAGCAGCAAAATCATGTCCTCACCACCAGCACCACCAGCAGTAGTACAACACCAAGTAGTCATACAGCAACAACGGGGATGAGGAGGAACAAGGGGGAAAGAAGAGATGATTCTTCCCCCCCCCCCAACCTTTTTAGGCTTGCATGTGAAGCATTGGAAGAAGCAGACTGCAAGCAACAAGAGGAAGAAGTGGACGCAGACTAAGAGGGCAAGAACACGCAGCATGACCCAGACAAGGAGGTCGTTGAGCAGAAGAAGAGGATGCTACCTTGGCACAGCTTCTTCTTAGAGTATTGGATGATGCTGAAGCAAACAGAATTGTTGTCAATGATGCTGAAGGGAGCAGCATTGCCACCAGCAGTGATAATGAGGAAGAGCTTGGTGAAGAACAACCAAAGGAACCTACTAGAAACAATAACAATGGCAGTGACGATGGTGCCAGCACCACCACTACTACAACAAGACATGAGCAAGCAAGGCCTCTTAGTAGTGGAGGTCCTCCTAAACCTCCTCCAGGTGTGAATATTCCCGAGCAGTGGTATGATTAAAAAAAAATCTTAATATTATATTTAACCTCGTGAACTAGAAGAGGCACTAGGAAGGCCAGAACCATTGCTTTCGTGAGAAAGAATGCTTCTAGCTGCTCCGAGGGGCGGCGCATCGGTATGATTACTGGAAAATATTCCTTTATTTCATGGATTTTGTACATGGAAGAAGAGATAATCCTCCCACTGAAGATACAAGATTTGCTAGGGACCATGTATTCACTGATGCTGACCTTGGCAGCCCCACTCCTGATCATGTGTGTCGTTTCCTTGCTCTACAGGCTTACAAGAAGGAAGATCCATCTCCTGATGACAACCCTATACATGCTAGATCAACTACTATAGACTTTACTTCTCCTAACAAGAGTATCAAGTGGACTGTGATTCAAGGAATTGGCCATGGTAACCCAACCCAATCTCCCAAAGTGAATAATTTAATTGGTGCAATCAAGCTGAAGGAAACACGAGGTCTTGGCAAGGAAACACAAATGGATTGAGCTCTCACAAAGGGTGAATGCTTCCAAGCACTTGAAGGTATGGAACAGCACAGTAGTATGATAAATAGGCAAAGGTTTAAAGCAATGATGTTGACCCAAATGCACTTCATGGGTCGAAACAATGGCATGGCTCATATAACAAAGTATTCTTTGAAGGCTTGCTCTAGATTCCCTGAATTTTTGACTTTGAAGATGAAGTGGTCAAAAAATGTAAGGGAAGATAGAGATTGTCCTGATCAGACCTTGATGGGATCAATGAATCAGAACTCATATGCACTACTTGCATTAGCATTATTTTTTGAGAAGTGGTGCTATGATGGTCATGGAGCAATCAGTCAGTGGCTTTTTAGTACTGAAGGGACTAGTACTACCGATGTGAAATCACCAATGAAAATTATAAAAAGAGAGATTGAATGTCACAAGAAAAAATATTCTGGATTCCTAAGTAGACATGTTTGGAAGAATGGTGTATTTTGTAAAGAAAAGGGAGGCAGGTTGGTGGGGACGCACTCTGTAAGGACATTTTCCGTTTCAGTTTGTAGTAGACATGCAGGAATGCTCAAGGATGATGTTAAATAGAGCCAGATGGAACAAAGGAAACTGCTAGCAACAAGATTGCTACACTGATCTGCAATTACTCTGGCCTGATATTTMTGTTGCAAGTTGTCTATGTTTTGACAGTATCTGCCTTTATAACAAACCAATAGAGGGATCTGCTGGAATAACAGATGAGTGGATTACTACTAGTATTAAAAATGTTACTCTTATTATTGCAAGTGCATTCAGCAACARGGTTGCTGTGATTCTATGAAAAGGCATTACTGTGGGCATGCTTTGAGTCTTCCCTGGTTGGTGTTGTTCTGGATGATATCAGAAGGAATGTGATGGCTTCATTTGTTCAGCTGAATGAAAGAGTCAGAGCTAATGGTGCTGGTGCTGGTATTGCTGTTGATTATGGTGAAAATCCTATTTGCAAAGTCAAAATAATTGCAAGTGAAATCAAATGGTAAAATAGATTTGATGAGATGTTTGAACCAGAGATGGATGAACAGCAAGCTGGAGCTGCTGTTGGGAATGGTCCCTTTGCTGGTGGCAGAAACAATAATTGGAATGAGGAGATCTCATCAGCAATGGATGAATGTGATGCATGCAAAGATGTGCGATCTCCAAGGGAGGATGTCCAATATGGAGAATCTGCRGATAAAAAAGAATTTGCATTACAAAAGGATAGAAACAAGAGGCTTCAAGCTGCTTGTAATCGAGCTGCCATGGCACTGGTAGCAAGAAGGATGGTGAGGCAACGTCTTGTTATACCCCCACGGTATCGCGCGGTACGGTTACGTACGTATCTGATTACTGTTTTTGCTTCCGCGAGAGGATCAACGGTTGTGTCTCCCTTTTTTTGGTTTTCAACGCATCACAAAAAAATCTTCCGATGCTTGCGATCACGATTGCTCTGACCGATTGATTGAAACTGAAGCAGAAAAAAATYACTTCCTCCCCCACATGCACGGTGGAGTGATTTCAGTGTTCCACACGAAGAGAAMAAACCGCGAAGATGGGATTGTGGAAGGCTAGTTCCAAAAGTTTCCTAGCTTTCACCTTCTTCGCCGGATACATTTCAACAATCATCAATCTCAGATTGTCGAATGATCGAATTCTGAAGCACATCGATTACGACGATTKGGAAAATTTCGCTGCAACTAAGAAGAACGGAGCGAKTATTACACGAGGGACACTATGGGATAGCAAACGTGATGGTGGCATTTACAAACGTGATGCATCCAAAGTGCAAAGAAGACAGCGTACTGCCGACGAAGCTGACACAATTATTGCGAACCCCGCGTACTCGGACTTGAAAGAAGAAATAGCATCAATGGTTGCAAACCAAACCTGGGTTTTCAAAACATCCTACGAACAATCCATAATCATAGCAGGAAAGGRAAAGACGCAACTAGTATCAGAACGACCACCCGGTGCTACCWCGAAATTGGTCTGTCGCGAAACATGCTGCGTCGAACGCGTCTGGATCAGCGCAAACCAAGACGACCGAAAGCTTCTAAACTGGAGAAACGACATATACGAGCTGGGAGACGTTATGATTCAGCAGTTTGAAAACGACGACGCATCGTTGCATGCTACTAATTTACATTCGGAAGATTTGATCCCGTGTTTTGTTCCAAACACCATTATTTCCGTGGATAATTTTGGCAAGTCCATCGATTACTTYTGGCAGCAAATCCGGCCAAAAATAAAGGTTCCTTTTTTGTTGGTGACCGGTGGATCGGATATGAACTCTCCGTACTTCACCAAAAACCATGCAACAATACCTGGATACATTGCCGATCCATTGTTGCTCAAATGGTATGGCACSAATCCCCKAAGACACGAAGGCGATCACCCCAGTCTGGAACGATTCCGCGAGTTTAGTGCGTCGAAATTCCGTCCCTTGTTATCCGGTCTGAGTTATCTGCATCCCCAGGAACGCTACCTATCGGCGTACCTGGGATTGACGAATTATACCAACCCGTTTTCTGAGCCTCTCATGAAACAACGGTTTTTCGCAAAATCGGCCGAYMATGCCATCGACTTTGAACAAGACGTCTTCGTTCATTTTGGAAAGAAAAAGAATCCTTTCCGAAAACGTCTTTGGAATATCCTCTGTCCAAATACGAAAACCAATACCACCTCGTGCGGTGCGGAAACAAATCGTGCTCCTCTTCATGAAATCTATGTCGACATGACGAAATCAAGAGGTAGTTTGGGACAGGGCTACAAATTTGGAATAAGTCCACCGGGGATGGGCTACGATTGTTATCGCCATTACGAGATGTGGTATCTCGGYATCATTCCAGTGATTTGGGATAGAGATCCAGAGAGCTACGARCTCTACGAGAACCTACCAGTGCTGCAACTGACTGCAGATCAACAGAAGGTATTGAATTCTCGACAAGATTTTGCCRGTGTCCTACAAGAGTTCTTGGAAAGCACAGAATTTCGCRATGCTGTTTCGAACGGAACCTACGAGCGCGGTTGGAACAGGCTCTTTCTCGGAGACAAACGCCGAGCAATACTGAAGGACTCGGGCCGTGCCACCGTAGTCGACGATACAAGTGGCACGGAATATTATCCCGCCTACCGGTATTTCTTGAGGGAAGACGTGTCCAAAGAAAATGGGCCAATCTCAAACRCCAGACGGGCATCGGGGAAGGCAGACGATCGCTCTGTGTATTGTTACCATGCCRATGCCAACTGYGCGGTTCGTGACGGCGACGGTGGGGATCGCAGTGTCGACTGGACGGACGATCCGAATCACGAGTACAACACCGTGGATCAGGAATGGATAAATCAATGGGAAGAAACAAAATGAACCCACAAGAACTATCACGAAGCGATCATCGTGCTCKAAAGAAATCTTTCCGACGGAAGTAACTCTAAAACCAGGCAACTTCATTGAGACATCAATTGTCGTGCACGCGCATTACATACTTCTACGTATTATGTATCTGAATTGGAGAAAAAAAGGCCCTACAAGGCTCTGAATCTTCCATTTACGTTCTTTGCAATAGTAGTTTTGCATTGTAGCTGGCTTCATCACTGAAAAGCTCTATTTTTCGGGAGGCCTCTTGGGCTGTTARTTAGCTCTAGTTCGTACATAACCCCTCAAGCGCATTTATAATAACATTATTATTATGATTATGAATCAAAATTAGTCCCATGCACTGTTTGCCAGCAAGCCGATCCCCAGCCCCTTTCCCCTTGGTTCCTTCCCGCATTTCATTCACTGGGTACGGTGCTATGATTCATTATTCCCTTTTCGTTTCGAGTGCAAACTACTTCGTCTTTGCTCGCTCGCCATCAATTGCCAATCCCCAGTTGCATTTTCATGAATTGGTTGTGGGGAAGAAGCTCGTCTTCGTAGGTSAGCAACGGCCTCCCGGTGATAAGTGGCAGTGATTCCGTCGAGGAATCATCGTCTGTACAATACGAATAAGATGGGTTCGATTGTCGCAAATCTGTTCCAAAATCGGCGCACACGGAACGCCAATCCATCTGCGCCAAATCGTCCCTGCACTGGTCGACRGAGGTTGTGGATCCGTCCATATCGATCCGTTTCCGGGGAGTCGACATCAACTTCTTGGACAGGGTATTCCTCCTTTTGTTGTCTGCGATTTGTGTGMGGGATCTTGCCGGCCCAATATCGAGACCGAGATCACGGCTTTGCTTTTCCACGACAAGAGACGATAGCGCCCGTGTCGAGGCCGCCTCAACATAGTGTTGGTAGTATCTCGAGGCATCATCGTACCCGGCTGCTTGTCCTCTCTTTTCGTTCTTTTGGAACGAATACGGGCGKGCATAATTGGATCCCTTGTTGTGAACCTTCGAAAGCGAGTTTCGTGACGAGGCGCTCGACGAGGTCGACAATTTGTTCCGAATGCGAGAGGAAGGAGTGCTGTACGATGAGCCAGCCGATCTTGCTCTTTCCATCTTCAGACTATCGAGCGTCGAAGGAGTCAGGCTACTCGCCGTCGTGGTTGTGRATGGCGATGTCTCGTCTACCTTCGCGTTGTTCTTTCCTCGAAAACTAAGGTATGCCTGGATGAGGTCCTTGCGACCARCCGGAGTCGTCGATGTCTGAGGAGATGGTTCCGAGRATGATTCGACAGGTGTAACAACATGGCCCTCGRGAGGACCCGTGCGTTCGTCCCGATGCGATTGAAATTTCGGAGACGGTGTCACGGGAACTGAGTTGCGTTTCTGTGGTCGCATTCGCGTCGTCGATGCAGCTACGAGAGGATCCAAACTCGGTTGCAGTGGTCTCGATTTTGGGAGAAGATCTTCGCTGTCGTCGTCTTCGACTTCTTGTGGGGTCAGAAGTAAGTTTCTCGAAGCTTCTTTCGTGATGGCGCGGCGGATCCGTACATTCCCAATGCTCTTGCTTTTTCCWTTSTTCGGTAGCTCGGTACCTATAGTATTGGTTTTGTTTCGCAAAGGAATGGTGGACGCTTTGTTGGCCGCTTCTGGTTTGCGTTTTGTGTCGGAAAACTGCTTTGCAGCCAAGCCATAACGGTTATTTTCGTCATTGGTGCTTTTGTAGTTGCACGCTTCGTTGCGACTCAAATTTTCTGCTTGGGCATTCTTTGGAAAGTATTCTCCGGAGTGTCGATTCGAAAATTCGACGCAGACCCTGGGCTCAGACATGGCTGGACACAGAGAATCGGCGTTCTGCTTGGAAGTCCGAGGTTTTGACAGGGCTTTTTTTGCGTCTTCGTTTTGCGTGGAAGGGTTTTGTTTCTGTTGAGACTCGCATCCGTCGAGTTGGCTTCCCAGCGTCGACGTGATTTCCTCTCCAGTATTTTCGATGTACAAGGGAGGACACAAATATGGTGGTTCCTGGGCTTTGGATTTCGATTTCGATCCCCCGCTGAGTTTATTGTTCAACCGCGACGATGGTTCTTCGTTGCAGTCGGCCTTTTCGCTCTTCAAATAATGCGGAGTGAATCGTTTGAGAGTGCGAGGCATGGATTGTGATCTTCTCTTTTCGTCTTCTGGGCAAGAGCCGCTATCCGTCGTAGTATCATCGTCCCAYCCGACGGCGGCGTTGGTGTGCTTCCTTGGGCTCTTGCGGTCTCGAGACTGTCTAGCAACAGACGTGCTCTTGCTTCGTCTTCGAGGAGMATTGTTAGTTTCGGAAAACCGCTCGGAAATGGAAGAAGCCGTGTCTTCTGGATCTTTGTTGTACACAACTTCAACGTTCAKAACATCCGTGACAATCCGATTTGGATTGTTGCTGTCGTCGGATCTGGTAGTGGCTCTGCCGGAGGATCTTCCACTCGGCTTTGGATTGTTGCCGTTGGAAGAACGAATTGCTTCGGCCCTTGTTCCGGACGGCTCGACGGGAGCCTTGACCCGTGCGCCGTCCAACTTGATGCCGTCGGGCTCCGCGGATGGTGACAAAACAACCTCGATTCCATGGTTTGTGTTCTGCGTTTKGCAATTCTTGCTCAGTTTYGAAGTATTGCCAGCAGACTTGATTTGGTCCGAAAGAGTTTCGATACGSATCCCSGAAGGTTCGGGCATCGGATCCTTGTTGCTCTTGTCGTTTTTGTTGCCGCTGTTTTTGTGGAGGATGTTGCTGCTGCGGATGYTGTTGTGGATGATGTTGTTGCTGTGGATGTTGTTGTTGCTGTAGGTGGTGACCTGAACCTTGTGGTTCCAGGACGTCTCGTCGTCGGGCCACTCGGTGTCCGATTTGTCGTCGTTCGCATCCTCCCGGCCTCCGGCGAGAAGGTCCTCCTTGCGGGTGATCCGACACGGAGGAGGATCTTCCTGGTCTCCCTGATCCCAGAACTGCGAGTTTCGGGTCAGACCACTGATGGCCGATTGAATGTCGTATTCCTCCGAGATTTCCACGAGCCCCTGCGGTTGTTCCGGTTGGTCCGGTTGCTCTTTCTTCCGTGCTTCTTTCTGGGAGCCTCGGCTTTTCTTGGTCTTGGAAGCGGGCTTTATGTGTTTCTTTATCGAAAACTTTTGCTGGAATTCGTGGGCCCTGCTGTTGAAACCGGACGTACAGGACGTATCGATGGCGGTCAGGTTGTTCCGGTTCGGATTCGATGCATCGGCCAGCGCTTTTCGGTTCTTGACGAATTTCTTGAGCCCCAGCATTTTGAGCTTGGCCTTTCTGCTGTTGCTGCTGCTGTTGCTGCTAATTGGTTTCTATCGCGCCGATCCGTGTTTCTGTCGTAGTTGCCAAAAGAGAAGAATGACAGTCGTATGTTGTACGTGGTCCGTTGGGGAGTCCGTCGGTGGGCCTGTTTCGCCTGTGACTGGTCGCTGTACGGTTGTTGCCGTTCCTAGAGTCCTTTVCCCAAACCGGTTCAATGCAATCGATCTCGGGGCAACGCCGCAATCACCTACCTGCATGCGCTGCTGTACTGTATTGTATTGTAAATAGTACGAGACGATGGGGTGGTCTTCGAATTGGAACCGGATTCTTTTGGTTGCAATTGCAGGGTGCCGTACGGTACGGGTACTATGCTACGGCACCGTTGCGATCCGGTGCGGTGCGGTGCGGTGGGGTGTGGCCGTTACACAACCGGATGCTTGGACAAAGGAAGGAGTGCCGATCCCCAACCGACCGGATCAATCCTCTCTCTCGGCACTTACTGCACACCCAAACCACAAACTGCGTACGAGTAAAGTACTTTACCGTACCGTACCGTACCATACGGAGTGGTTGCAGAGAATTTTTTTTGAAAAAAGTAGTCGTTGGCGTCACCGGCACGTTTGGACGCCCTCGTTGCGACGCTTCTCGTTTTTTGTCGTTGTGGTTCGTCCGAGCGGAGGGAGCCCGACTTCKTTACAATTCCATTTTGGTTTCATTTTTACCGTATTGTATTGTTTCGTKCTGTACTCGTACCGGAACGCAGGCAGGCACATACAAACAGGGGTCCTTAATTTATGACCCTTGATCGTACGTACAGTACAGTACAAGTATCCAATTTTTGCAACCGATATTGCAAAACGGTCGAAGGAGTCTATCGGTACTTAAAATACGTACATTTCTACGTAGGCTATAATACCCCAACTGATCCCACTCCATTTACCGCCGTACTCACCTTCCCTACATAAATTCTGGTAGGAATTCTACTGTGCAACCGTATTGGCTTTTCTGCTGTGGTCGCATCCGTACCTCTTTTGGTTGCCTAACACAGAGCAAATTACACTGAGTATGCAACAATTTTGCAACTTCTTGTCCTTTGCCTCGTCACGAGAGGTGCATTTTTTGCCTCGTCAAAAGAGGTGCATTTTTTGCTCACAAGTTCAAGCAAAACCCCAAGCAAGCAAATACTGCAAGAACAAGCAAATACTGCAAGAACAAGCAAATACAGCAAATACTGTAAGTATCGAATATACTGTAATTATCGAATACAGCAAATACTGTAATAACACCAAGTATCGAATATCGAAAAACAGCAGCAGCACAAGAGTATCAAAAAACAGCAGAACAACAAGAGTATCCTCACAGCCCTGTTGACTCACGAGAGGTGCATTTTTTGCTCACAAACAGCAACGCTCGCATACGAGTAGTACCGGTTCAGCAAGCAAAACAGCAGCAACATGGTAGTAACAGCTCAACAGGAGGCGGCAGCACAGCGTCGTCCCCGGGCACGAAAAAGAAGGGGGGGGAATATAACGCCTCCACGAGACGTGAACCAGCCAGGGCAATGGAGAAGATACCATCAGATTCTATTGGAGCTCATGGATCATGTACATGGAAGAGTGGACGAAGGAGGACCCAACGGTGATAATCGGTTTCCAAATGATACCCTTTTCACTGAAGAGCAGCTAAGTCTTCTAACGCCGGCTCATATCTACAAGTTCTTTGCAAAGAAGGCGTTTGGTAGGGAGGATCCTGGTGTYGATGATAATCCTACTGAGGGAAGGAGTTCATCCCTTATTTATTACAAGAAGGCGTTATCCTATTTCATGCCAAACAAGCTGCACAAGTGGACTGTTATTGGCGGTGTTGGCAGTGGAAATCCTACTAAGTCCCAGCAAGTTAATGATCTTATCTCAGCTGTTATCAAGAAGGAAACTAGAGGACTTGGACAAGCAAGTAAGATGGATCGACCTCTTACAAAGGATGAGTTCTTGCAAACACTTGAACTAATGGGGAACCACGGCGATCTCATCAAACGACTTCGATATCTTGCAATGATTAAGTTCCAGTTCCATCTGATTGGTCGTAATGATGATACAGCACATGTTGGAAAGGACAGCTTGGAAAGATCTGCTGAATTTCCTAGATTCCTTACAGCAAAGATGAAATGGTCTAAGAACGTGAGAGAAGAGAGGGACTGTCCAAAACAAATCTTGCTTGGATCCATGGATCATCGGTCGTGTGTTGTACTGGGGCTTGCCTTGTATCTTGAAAAGTGGTGCAAAGGCGATGGAGCAGCAAGCCAATGGCTATTCACGGAAGGAGTTACAGATAGGAGATCACCACAAAAGGATGTTGCAAAAGAGGTTAATAAAGGAAAGGCTGCATACGCTAATTTCATAAAGCGCTATGCATTTCAAAATCCTTCCTTTGTTGCTGAAAGACCACCATCAGAAGGAAAACTTGGTACTCACTCCATTCGGAAGTACGGCACAACGTATGCTAGACAGTGTGGTTGCCCAAGGGACGATGTTGATTATAGAGCAAGATGGAAG